CCGTCGAACGCTCAACAAAGCCGGGAAGGAGACGAAACTCAAAAGCCGGAGAAATCGGAGAAACACAGACCAAAACCATCATCATCACATTGTTCGTTTCGAAATCAAGCAGAGAAATTTAGAGTAGGAGATCGAGAGAGAACAGGTACCGTACCTCTGTCTCCCTCTCTCTCTCTATCTCCTGAGTTTCTCTGCATGTGTTTTTCGACGCGGACAAAATCTGTGTTGGAGAAAAGGGAGAAGAGGTTTGATTTTGCGGGAGTGGGTGGTTATGGCGTCTACTTCTTTGGTTGCTGCCATGAAGATTTATTATTGGCCTTTGAATTAAAACTACCGCGCTAAACAAAGTAGTTGATTAATTATAAATCAAGGGATTAACTAATTAACGAATTAACGTGCGGTGCAGTGCCGTGAAGATTTATTTATTTTTTAATTACCAATCCCCGAGAGAAAAATTAAAATTAAAAAAAAAAAAAAAAGCGAAAGAGAAGCGGAAAAAGTAACTCAGCCGACTCAGTACTTGTACAATAGTTTCTACTTTTTTAAAAAAAATTTAAATTTGAGTTCTATTTATATTTTATTGGAATTTATTTTTATTTTTTATTATATTATAATTAATTTCTATATAGCATTTATTAATAAGTGTAAAAAATTTTACTCAATCAAAATAAAATTGGGACCTTTTAATTATATATATATTTTTAAAAAATAATTATAAAATTACGGGCTCATGTTCAAATTGAAAGAATTAAACTAAATTAAATTAAATTTAAAAAATAATAATTATGTTCATATTGAATCAAAATAATTAAATTTTATAATAAAAAATGTATCTAAATTTATAACAAAATAAATTTTTATATAGTATGAATGATTTTTTAAATTAATACATAATTTTTTAATTTTTTTTTTGTTTACAGGATAATAAAAAAATAAAACTTGTTGATAAAAAAATCTAACACAGATTATTCTGTACTCAAAAACTATAATATATATTTTTTTTATTTTTTATTTTGAGATAATATAATCAATGTTTACTACTAATAGAGTATTAATTGC